TTTGCTATTATAGGCCTAATCAATAAATTCCTCATCAACCGATATTACCTTAAACATTCTTGGAATTGACATAAGATTACTGATGCCGTACACACCCTTCAGTGTGAAAATGTGGCTTGCTTTGCAAACACATCTAACATCTAAGGAAAGAAGAGCTTAGATAGGAACCAGATAAAATAATTTTTTTTATCAACATTAATATATTATGCTAATTTTCATCTTTGTAAGCGCATAAGACATTGCAAATTATTTCTGTGACAGTCTTTTTGAAGTGTAAGGCTCCATTTTATCCCATACATAATCAAAATATTTGGGGGATGATACAATGAAACATCCCCCCTTATCAAATATTGGGGGATATATCCCCTCCATCCCCCCCCCCGGAAACTACGCCTATGTTCCTAACATATTATACACTCATTCACTCACATAGTGTATTAGATATTATTTGTAACAGTCGATAGAGAGCAAATAGTAAACAAACATTTATAAATTCAGCAAATAAGAAATATTGATCTTGCCATAATTATTGTCCATAATGTCAATCATTTTTAATTCAAACATGACTTGTTTTGGTGGATGACCTTATGAAGTCCACACCACCACGGCCACCTCCGCTGGACCATGCTTGGTGTAAATAAGTGGTAAACAATCGAGCACTCCTTTCTCTCACTGCTGGATCCCCGCTAAACTCATGGGCGCACTTCCTTTCCCCCCCTTTTTCTCTCTTTAATAACTTAAATTTTTTTTGCCTTTCTTGTTTTTCAGCAAGACTGAGGAGTTGGGGGGGGGGCACAGACACGCATAGGGGCTCCCCCTTCCCCGCTGGTTCCGCACCTGATCGGTTGAGGTATAATGAATAAAGTTACAAATGAAGACCCATAAATGTTACTAAAACTATTTGATATTAGGCTCCATTATTTCTAATGTAACTTGTCTTAGAACACTCTAATCATATTATTTATAATAACACATCATAGACTGCAATCACTCATGTAAAGAAAATTCAGTTTAGGTGTAATGATGTAATGAAGACCAATCAATATCACTGACGTTATTACCATCGATATCAAGTCACTCAAATTCCAACTTGACTCCTCTCTTAAAGCACTATCTAATTATATCCTTCACAATAACACTTGATAAACTGCAATTATTCATGTCAAGTATGTTCAGATTAGGTGTAATGAATAAAGATACAAATGAAGACGCATCAATGTTACTCAGATTATTACCACCAATGTTAAGCTTCCAACCAATTCCAACTTGACTCTCCTAAAACACTCTCTAATCATATCATTTATAACAACACCTGATAGACTACAGTTATTCATGTCAAGTTTATTCAGTTTAGACGTAATAAATAAGGTTGAAAATGAAGAACCACTTATGTCACAAAGATCATTACCTCTGATATAAAGACATAATTCCAACTTGCCTCCTCTCTTAAAGCACTCTCTAATTATATCATTCACAATCATTCACATTAACACTTGATAGACTGCAATTATTCATGTAATGTCTATTCAGTTTAGGTGAAACAAACAAAGATTCAAATGAAGACCAACCAACATCACTATAGATTATTACCAGTGACAATAAGCCATACTTATTACAACTTGACTCCTCTGCTAAAACACTCTAATCATATCGTTCATAATTACACATGGTAGATTACAGATATTCATGACAAATTTACTCAATTTAGACGTAATCGATAAGGATGCAAATGAAGACCCATCAATGATGATCAATCACTAATTCCAACTTGACTCCTCTACCAAAACACTCCCCAGTCATATTCATAATAACGCCCGATAAACTGCAATTATTCATGCCATGTCCACTCAGTATATATGTAATGAATAACGATGCAAATAAAGACCCATCAATATTACTGAGATTATTATCACTGACATAATGCTCCACTAATTTCCAACTTGACTCCTCTGCTAGAACACTCTCTAACCATATCGTTCATAATAACGACTGATAAACTGCAACTATTCATGCCAAGTTTACTCAGTTTAGACGTAATGAATAAAGATGAAAATGAAGACCCATCAATGTTACTGAGATTATTACCACCGACATAAAGCTCCACTAATTCCAACTTGACTCCTCTGCTAGAACACTCTCTAATCATATTGTTTATAATAACACCAGATAAACTGCAATTATTCATGTCAAGTATATTCAGTTTAGACGTAATGAATAAAGATGAAAATGAAGACCCATCAATGTTACTGAGATTATTACCACCGACATAAAGCATTACTAATTCCAACTTGACTCCTCTGCTAGAACACTCTCTAATCATATCATTCATAACAACGCTTGATAAACTGCAATTATTCATGCCAAGCATATTCAGTTTTGACGTAATGAATAAGGATGCAAATGAAGACCCATCAATGTCACTGAGATTATTATCACTGACATTAAGCTCCACTAATTCCAACTTGACTCCTCTGCTAGAACACTCTCTAATCATGTCATTCATAATAACGCCTGATAAACTGCAACTATTCATGCCAAGTTTACACAGTTTAGATGTAATGAATAAGGATGCAAATGAATATCCATCAATGTTACTGAGATTAATACCATTGATACCTAGCAACTCTAATTCCAACTTGACTCCTCTGCTAGAACACTCTCTAATCATATCGTTCATAACAACGCTTGATAAACTGCAATTATTCATGCCAAGTTTACTCAGTTTAGACGTAATGAATAAGGATGCAAATGAAAACCCATCAATGTTACTGAGATTATTACCACTGACATTAAGCTCCACTAATTCCAACTGGACTCCTCTGCTAGAACACTCTCTAATCATATCATTCATAATAACGCCTGATAAACTGCAACTATTCATGCCAAGTATATTAAGTTTAGACATAATGAATAAGGATGCGAATGAAGACCCATCAATGTTACTGAGATTATTACCACTGACATAAAGCATTACTAATTCCAACTTGACTTCTCTGCTAGAACACTCTCTAAAAATATCGTTCATAACAACGCTTGATAAACTGCAATTATTCATGCCAAGTTTACTCAGTTTAGACGTAATGAATAAGGAGGCAAATGAAGACCCATCAATGTTACTGAGATTATTATCACTGATAAATAGCAACTCTAATTCCAACTTGACTCCTCTGCTAGAACACTCTCTAATCATATCGTTCATAACAACGCTTGATAAACTGCAATTATTCATGCCAAGTTTACTCAGTTTAGACGTAATGAATAAGGATGCAAATGAAGACCCATCAATGTTACTGAGATTATTACCATATATAAATAGCAACTCTAATTCCAACTTGACTCCTCTGCTAGAACACTCTCTAATCATATCATTCATAACAACGCTTGATAAATTGCACTTATCCATGCCAAGTTTACTCAGTTTAGACGTAATGAATAAGGATGCAAATGAAGATCCATCAATGTTACTGAGATTATTACCACCGACATTAAGCTCCACTAATTCCAACTGGACTCCTCTGCTAGAACACTCTCTAATCATATCGTTCATAACAACGCTTGATAAACTGCAATTATTCATGCCAAGTATATTCAGTTTAGACGTAATGAATAAGGATGCGAATGAAGACCCATCAATGTTACTGAGATTATTACCACTGACATAAAGCATTACTAATTCCAACTTGACTTCTCTGCTAGAACACTCTCTAAACATATCGTTCATAACAACGCTTGATAAACTGCAATTATTCATGCCAAGTTTACTCAGTTTAGACGTAATGAATAACGATGCAAATGAAGACCCATCAATGTTACTGAGATTATTATCACTGACATAAAGCTCCACTAATTCCAACTTGACTCCTCTGCTGGAACACTCTCTAATCATATTGTTCATAACAACGCTTGATAAATTGCAATTATTCATGCCAAGTTTACTCAGTTTAGACGTAATGAATAAGGATGCAAATGAAGACCCATCAATGTTACTGAGATTATTACCATATATAAATAGCAACTCTAATTCCAACTTGACTCCTCTGCTAGAACACTCTCTAATCATATCATTCATAACAACGCTTGATAAATTGCAATTATTCATGACAAGTATATTCAGTTTAGACGTAATGAATAAGGATGCAAATGAAGATCCATCAATGTTACTGAGATTATTATCACTGACATTAAGCTCCACTAATTCCAACTGGACTCCTCTGCTAGAACACTCTCTAATCATATCATTAATAATAACGCCTGATAAACTGCAATTATTCATGCCAAGTATATTCAGTTTAGACGTAATGAATAAGGATGCAAATGAAGACCCATCAATGTTACTGAGATTATTATCACTGACATAAAGCTTCACTAATTCCAACTTGACTCCTCTGCAAGAACACTCTCTAATCATATCATTCATAATAACGCCTGATAAACTGCAATTATTCATGCCAAGTATATTCAGTTTAGACGCAATGAATAAGGATGCAAATGAAGACCCATCAATGTTACTGAGATTATTATCACTGACATAAAGCATTACTAATTCCAACTTGACTCCTCTGCTAGAACACTCTCTAATCATATCGTTCATAACAACGCTTGATAAACTGCAATTATTCATGCCAAGTATATTCAGTTTAGACGTAATGAATAAGGATGCGAATGAAGACCAATCAATGTTACTGAGATTATTACCAATGACATAAAGCATTACTAATTCCAACTTGACTCCTCTGCTAGAACACTCTCTAAACATATCGTTCATAACAACGCTTGATAAACTGCAATTATTCATGCCAAGTTTACTCAGTTTAGACGTAATGAATAAGGATGCAAATGAAGACCCATCAATGTTACTGAGATTATTATCACTGACATAAAGCTCCACTAATTCCAACTTGACTCCTCTGCTAGAACACTCTCTAATCATATCATTCATAATAACGCCTGATAAACTGCAATTATTCATGACAAGTTTACACAGTTTAGACGTAATGAATAAGGATGCAAATGATGACCCATCAATGTTACTGAGATTATTATCACTGACATTAAGCTCCACTAATTCCAACTTGACTCCTCTGCTGGAACAATCTCTAATCATATCATTCATAATAACGCCTGATAAACTGCAATTATTCATGCCAAGTATATTCAGTTTAGACGTAATGAATAAGGATGCAAATGAAGACCCATCAATGTTACTGAGATTATTATCACTGACATTAAGCTCCACTAATTCCAACTTGACTCCTCTGCTAGAACACTCTCTAATCATATCGTTGATAACAATGCTTGATAAATTGCAATTATTCATGCCAAGTGTACTCAGTTTAGACGTAATGAATAAGGATGCAAATGAAGACCCATCAATGTTACTGAGATTATTATCTCTGACATAAAGCTCCACTAATTCCAACTTGACTCCTCTGCTAGAACACTCTCTAATCATATCGTTCACAACAACGCTTGATAAACTGCAATTATTCATGCCAAGTTTACTCAGTTTAGACGTAATGAATAAGGATGCAAATGAAGACCCATCAATGTTACTGAGATTATTATCACTGACATAAAGCTCCACTAATTCCAACTTGACTCCTCTGCTAGAACACTCTCTAATCATATCATTCATAATAACGCCTGATAAACTGCAATTATTCATGCCAAGTTCACACAGTTTAGACGTAATGAATAAGGATGCAAATGAAGATCCATCAATGTTACTGAGATTATTACCATTGATATCTAGCAACTCTAATTCCAACTTGACTCCTCTGCTAGAACACTCTCTAATCATATCGTTCATAACAACGCTTGATAAACTGCAATTATTCATGCCAAGTATATTCAGTTTAGACGTAATGAATAAGGATGCGAATGAAGACCCATCAATATTACTGAGATTATTACCACCGACATTAAGCTTTACTAATTCCAACTTGACTCCACTACTAAAACACTCTCTAATCATATCATTCATAATAATGCCTGATAAACTGCAATTATTCATGCCAAGTTTACACAGTTTAGACGTAATGAATAAGGATGCAAATGAAAACCCATCAATGGTACTGAGATTATTACCACTGACATAAAGCTCCACTAATTCCAACTTGACTCCTCTGCTAGAACACTCTCTAATCATATCATTAATAATAACGCTTGATAAACTGCAATTATTCATGGCAAGTTTACTCAGTTTAGACGTAATGAATAAGGATGCAAATGAAGACCCATCAATGTTACTGAGATTATTACCACTGACAACAAGCAACACTAATTCCAGCATGACTCCTCTACTAGAACACCCCCTAATCACATCATTCATAATAACACCTGATAAACTGCAATTATTAATGAGCAGTCCACTCAGTTTAGATGCAATGAATAAGGATACAAATGAAGACCCATCAATGTTACTGAGATTATTATCACTGATAGCTAGCAACTTTAATTCCAACTTGACTTCTCTACTAGAACATTCTTTAATCATATCATTCACAGTAACACTTGATAAACTACAATTATTCATGTCAAGTATATTTAGTTTAGGTGAAATGAATAAGGATGCAAATGAAGAACCATCAATGTCACTTAGATCAGTACCAATGAAACACAGCTGCTGTAATTCCAACTTTACTCTTCTATTTAAGCACTCTCTGATCACATTATTCATAACAGCACCTGTAATACAATTTCTAAAGGTAACGATATTAAGTTGTGGTGCATTACTAAACAGGTGAACTACAAATGAAGCTGTACTCAAAGATGATAATGTACATTCTGTTACATCATATTTGAAGGAGAGTCTTTGACATTCATCTGCCAGGTAGGTAATATCATTATCACATATTATACTACATACTTTTTCAAAAATAATCTTTTGTTCTGGCACAGCAATTAATATGTGAGCAAGCATTCTGCCTTTTTCTTCAGATGACATTTCTCTTAAATAATATTCAAATGAATTTATCATTTTCGATTCAGGCCAAGAAAAACATTCACGAATTCTTATCATAAGTCTTATGAAATGCTCTTCTTGACTGATGTTTAATTCAGGAATTATGTCATGAATAAATTTGCTTAGTGATTTACATATGTCATTAATATGTGGCTTTATTTCTAAATCTTCTCTGGTCTTCATGTAACCAATAACTGCTTTTTCTACAGTACCCATATGGTCTTTATTTACACATCTTAAATATTCCATTAAAGAACGATATGTTGAGATATCATTCGTTATCCCATGACTTAAAAATATGCCAGCATTCCCACCTAGGAATCCAATTGCAAACACCTTTGTTACGTGAAAATGTTTACTGCTGCTTATTATCTTCCATTCACTATCAGTCAATGGCTCAAATAATGTTCCCATGCCATCTGAACACTTATTCTTCAACCCTTGCATCTGACATAGTTTGCATATGTAAAATCCAACTAATGCCTCTACTATCAACTTGTGCCGAGTTGTAAAAATATTTTCAAAGTTAGATTTTAGTTTTGGTGTAACTTCGTACACAAAACCTAGTTTTAAAGCCAGAGCAACCAATTCTTTATCTTCTTTCATCTCTCTTCTGTTTATTGAAAGTTGGTTTTTCTTTAGGCCTTTATAGAAATACTTTCCTAATAGAGCCATTGCATTAACAAACCTCTCAGGAGTATCTTCAAATGTTGAGATTTTTTGCTCTTTAACTGTTTGTTTGTCAATAAACTGATTCAAGATGCATCTAAATACCTCTTTAAACAAATCACTTTTATCAGCTACAAGATTTTTCCTTTCTTCCCACATAATGCTTACTGATAAAAGCAGCAATGGATTCTTACATATTGAATAGATCTCCTGATGTTTATGGTTTGAATCAAGCTGTAACTCCTCAATAAGTGAGTCTCCTAACAAAGGTTTTCTAAAGAAAGCAAAGTATTTCCTTATGTATTTTCCTATATTTTCTGTACTGAATCCCTGCACTTTCACATGTAAGTTGCTTGCATTAATGAACTCGTATATTTTTTCCGATCCTGATGTAAGTACCACTTTACAATCACACATTTCTTCGCATTTAAAAATCCTTATTGGACTCTCACTACCATCTTTTAATTCATCTAATCCATCCAATAACAATACAATTTCATTACTGTGATTCCAAATAAATTGTTCAATTAATATAGGATCTTCTTCGAGACCTGTTTCAAGTTTAAAACCATGTAGGTTTATCTTACTTAAAATAGCATCCAAAATACTTTCATTTATGTCAATATCCTGGATATTGACAAGAAACACTATTTTACCTTTGAAGGTTTCGTCTGATTCGTTTTTGGCCCAGTTGTATGCTACGTACCTTAGGAGGGTTGATTTACCGACACCGCTATCACCTTCTATTAGAGCTTTACATGCAGGTGTGGATTTGATATCATCTAAAACCTGCTTTAAAGTTGTTTGAGTGGCATCTTTTTTTTTTCTGTTTTTACTTATTGTTAGTTGGTCAAGATCAGTGAACATATCGGCATCTTCCTTTTCTATGTTGTTACTTATCTTTAGCAGGTTTAGATCAGTGAACATATCAGCAATATCTACTTCAGCATTAAAAATTGATGGTGTAAACCGGTTGGCATTGCTGCACACTTTCTGTTGGGTATTTAGTAGATATTTTCGAATAACCTCGTCTGTAAGAAAAGATTTTTAAATACACTGTTACTCAAGAGTAGAATGGAGATCAACAATTGCAGTAATATTGTTTCATTTACTGTCTACATCTTCCCGTTTCTAAGGTTAGACATGGTTTGTGAGTACAAGTTATCTGATCAACCAAAAGCAATGATGATAAAAATTATAAATATGTACAGTATTGAAAAAAAAAACTAAATATAATGATATCACAATCTCATTTTCTATCAATAATTAAATAATATACAGGGGTCTCGAGTCTCCCGGAACTTCCGGGTGTAACAGTCTCTCGCACTCCCGCAAACAAGCAAGTCTTCCGGAAAATCACTCACCTGCAAATTAAGTAAAAAACAAATCTTTTTGTTTTAGGCCTAAACTTTGGTTGCCAATGAATTTTGGATGTCTGACAGTGCCATTTCCGGGCTTCTAAAGGTGCCTATCATAAACAATTTCATCCCCTCAGCCCCATTCATGGTAGGCCTGAGGTGGGCATGGCCATTTTTTTGGTACCTACACCTTTTCCTCATAGAATATATAGTGCCCCAAATGTCATTAAACGAATCTCCCAGAAATGGGTTCTTCCATCCTTGGAGCCCTGCATATACAGTATCTGTATATGAAATACAGTAACTTTATATAGAAATATTATCATTTATATTTCTTATTGGGTCATTCCATGCTAAATCACCCAACGGTCCCCAGGTAACCCTCTTTAATTTTGCTAAAAATTCACAAAAATACTGTAAAAGCTCAAATATGTGCCACTCTCGAATAAACGCTGCACCAAACCTGATTGTTTTCACTAACATAATGTCAATGCTGTAATATTTAACCAATGATTGGGCTTTTAAAAATAGTCAATGGTCTAGTGAATTATACAGTAAAATAGTCCAGTGAGCTAGTCACCAAAGAAAGTTAAATTTAGCCCTGACTACATTCTGTGAAATTGAACACTTTGAGAAACAGGGTTTTAAATACAATGCATACTAATGAATAAATAACACAATGAAGACACAAGCATTTCTTTAGAAATGTTTATTTTTTGATGACATAGAACCTATGATAGGCCTACTGAACTATGGGAATATGTGTGATAGACAACTTCGGAATTGGCATGGAAAGCGCCACACCAACATTTTTTATAAGCGCTGCTTTCGATTAAGTGCCGCTCTCGAATATGCACCCCATTGAAGCTTATTCCAGCATTTATTGTATTCCCTTTTATAAATAATAAACACACAAATAATTTTAGACCAAAAGCCAGTCTTGAAATTATGGCCCTCTGATATATGCCACGCTCATTTTTTTTTTTACTGCTGCATTTTGTATAGATAATTGTTTTCATTTTAGGCTATATTTTTTTATTGGAAATAGTTGATATTGGAAACAGTTCGAAGCTGAAAATTACTACTCTGTGTATTTTGATTCTTTCAGAGTCTGCAAAATACTGTATCTTGATTCACTGAAAAGTAGGTATCTCAAATTGTTGGTTCATTTCAAGCTGAAATGATTTTTCAATATTTCGGACTATAGCTCCTATACTGTACCATGTATCTAAGATGTCCAATTTGCAGACACATTACCTCTAGTTAGTGCTGTATGCAATCAAGCAAGTACCAATCAACTAATCAATGAGGTATGGGTAGACCCCTAAAACAGACCCAGACACAAAAAGAGAAAAATGGTTACTTTCCAGTGGACAGTTGACCATGTGGTTTTGAAACATGCACAATGGGAATATATGTACCACAACTATATATGACACAAATTCCAGCAATGTAACTAAATTCCATCATGGTTAGGTATTTCTATCGTATATTTCCTCATTATTAATATGAAAAATATTTGAAGATCAAACTTCGTAAGTCAAAGTCGTTCCGAGACACTGATCATTTTGGTAGAACCCAGTTTGTTTTGTAAATAATTCTCAACAAAATCAGTCAGTGAACAATGAAATGAGACTGAAGCATGAA